CTAAGGCAGGGGTTCTTAAGCTGGGACTGTTATGTCTGATCATATAGTCATTAGAGCTTGTTTGGGGGCAAGTAACAGAAACACACTTTTATTATTATTATTATTATTATTGAAATGGAGTCTTTCCCTGGCACCCAGGTTGGAGTCCAGTGGTGCGAATCTCGGCTTACTGCAACCTGCACCTCCTGGTTCAAGCGATCGTCCTGCCTCAGCCTCCCGAGTAGCTGGGACTACAGGCATGCACCACCACGCCCGGTGGTATTTTTTGTATTTTTAATAGAAATGGAGTTTCACTGTGTTAGCCAGGATGGGACACTCGAACTTTTAAAGCAAAGGTAGACAATTTATTATTGAGATTCAGGGACATCCTACTAAATTAAACAGTAGGAATGAGCCAAGCTTCATGAGGGGCTGGAATTGGAAAGTGGGAAGTCTGCACAAATCTTCTTGCTTCATGGGTCTCTGCTTCTCTCTGGACCTCTATGTTATTCTCGCTGCATACCAGTTCTCTGATATTGTCTATGGGGCAAATGCAGAGAGTTACCCATAGTGCCCAATGTCACGACAGTTCCAGGCAGCTTGAAATTCCAACTCTTTCTCCATTCCAATTCCAGATTCCTAGGATAAAGACTTTGATGGCTTTTGGGAACTCATCATAATGGGTAGGTGAGAGGGAGTTAAAGGAGTCAATGTAAAATGAAGTACTTCAAAATATGTCCACTCTAGCGTGTGCGCACATTTTTAGGGGATAGTGCACGTTATTCTGAGCAAACTACTTAAGTCTCTGGGCTTCCAGTTTCTCATATGCAAGAAGAAAACAATATGTTTAAGAACAAATTATCTACATTTGCACTTAGACTATACCTGCCACATAATGAGTACTCAGTAAACATTAGGTGTTATCAAACTTTGCACAATGAGCTACTACTAAGAAATTCGGCAGTACCTAAATCCTCATTCTCCATAGTTGAGAGTTAATAGATACTATTTAAGACTGAGAAAATTATGAAAGTACTATAAGCTGTTATTTATAAAAATGGAGTAAAATAGAAGAAATAGCTGAAAAGATAGTAAGTAGTTACCTCTGGGAACAAGAATTGAAAGTGGGTACAGGTACAGTTATTTTAAAAATTATAAACCTATTAGTACTATTTGACTTTTAAATCTGTTTGGTCAGTGTGATTCCAATTTTGTGTTACTAAACCCCCCCACACACGCACACACCCCTTATACATATTATATGAATGACAGAACATATTATATACGTGTATAATATATAAATATTACATTGTATATCTGTATCTATGCACATTAAAAAAATAGAAGAAAACATTAAAAAGTCAACTATGGCTGTCTCTTGGGAGGGGGAGGTTAGGGTTGTAGGTAAGTTTTAGTTTTAATTTGACCTGTTTTTCCCTATTTCCCAAACTTACTGGGAAGAAGACACATTGTAATCTCATTGTAAATTTTTTTAAGAGGGCGAGAAAGAGACAGGAAGGAACCAGGAGATATGGGTTCAACCCCAGCTGTGCCACTAATTCAACTAATTCACTGTGATCTTGAGCAAACTGCTACCTCCCTGGGCCCCTGTTGATCCAGCCATAAGCACAGGATTGAGCTGAGCTCTAAATAATAACAATGCAAAGAGCTACCATTTAAGACTTACTATGTTGCCTACTCTGTGCTAGACACTTTAGTTACACCCGTGGTTATCAAATGCTTTAGAATCACCTGGAGAGCTTTTTGGATCACAGGTTTCAGGGCCCACCTCCTCAGCTTCTGATTCAGTGAGCCTGGGGTGAGGCCTGATAATTTGCATCTCTAACAAGTTCCCAGGTGATACTGATGCTGCTGACCTGAGGACCACGGCTTAAATTAACTCATTTAAGACTTGCAAAAACCCTGTGTTGTATTCTTTGTCCTTTGGATGGGGAAATTGAGGGTCTGAAAAGTCACAGTGTCAGAGCTATCATCTGAATTCAAGACTATTTAAACCAAAGCTCTTGCTGTGATCATATTGCTTTCCTCTGAGGCTTTCTCTCAGTTTCAACTTTCTATGTTTCTAGTTTACAAACAACAAAACCCACACATCTGAGACCAAATCAAAGCTCTTCAGATAAAATTCCAAGAAAATCCCAACGTGTGCAACTTCTGCCTCGGGGCGGGGATGAATCTGGGGCTGAACCCCAACAGGGAGGGTGATAGACTGCAGCTGACTGGCTTGCACGGGCCTAGCAAAGGGACTGCAGCTTCATGAAGGCACCCCTGCAACTGACTTGAACTTTTCTTTCCCTTCTCCTACAGTTTATTTGGCATTCTCTGGGTCTCTTAATCCACAGTCATTTGGGTGGCAAAAAAAAAAAAAAAAGTGGAAATGAGTTTTCTTCAATGTTGACTTTCATGGTGTCCCCGGGAATGGTTATTTTCTTCCTTTTCTCCCTAGTGTGAATTCTCAAATGATTTCAAATGCATGCCGATTGCAGTGGCCAGCTGCCAGGAGAGAAGTGAAAATAAACTGGTGACAGGAAGTGTCTCAGTTCACGGAAAGGGCAGCAAGGATATAGTGGAGCAGGCCCATGACACTCCTGGGTCCACATGCTGAAAGACTTACCCGGACAGGCTGTGTAGCCACAAATCTCCTAGTAATTCATTAAGTAAGGGGAAATGCTCCCAGAAGCATTTCTCTCCTCTCCTAACACCCTTTGTCTTTTAATTTCCAAACTCCGGGTTCATTCCTATGTCAAGCAAGCCTGGGTGAGTCTCTCTAAACAACTCCTTCATTCGTGATGGAACACACTGCCACAGACTAATGCTTTGACGCTAAGTGTTTTAACAGGCTGAGGTTTCCAAGCTTTAGGATCACAAGACGGATATATGATCGGTGTGAATTAGAAAATAGCATCAAAAACAGCATGAAGGGCGGTGGAAAGAAAAGTGCGTTCCATGGAACTTTGCCCAGTGAAGGGCTTGCAGGCTGCAAGGAAAGTTTCAAGGATAAAAAAGTATATTCAAAGTTAGTCATAAGATAAAATAAGATCATAGAACAAGGTCAAATGTTTCAATATCAATAAATGTAAATAGGCTTAATTTACCTATTAAAAGATCTCCACATTGGTGAATATGGCAAAATTTAACACTGCTCCACACAAGAGACACAGCAGAGGTCCTGAAAGGTTAAAAAAAAAAAGAAAGAAAAAGATATTAAAGCCAATGCAAATTAAAACTTAAAGGAGTTGCAATTTTGATATTTGACAAGATGGAATTAAAACCAAAAAGCACTAAAGGAGGCAAGAAGGAGACTTTAAAATACTGAAGGTAACAATTCACATTGAAGGTATGTAAGTTATTCACATTGAAGCACCTAACCACTAAAGGTGCAGGGGAAATGGAAACAGGAATAACTGGTGATTTTAATCCATTTCTGTCAATCCAAGAGAGATCAAGTGGACAATGAGGAAGCAGGAGACGCAAATGTAACGGATAAGGTAGACCTTTTAAATGTATGTAGAAACCTGGGCCCCATAGTGGCAAAAACACCTTCTCAAGTGACTACACTTTGGGCCACAAAGAAAATTTCATTAAATTTCAAAAAACAAAGAGAATACTCTCTGATCACAATACAATAAACTTGAGCATTATAAACAAAATTTAAAAACCAAAATTATTAATGATCAAATAGAGCATTGATAATTTTCTCTACAGTAGGCTAAAACATGTTTATTATGCTTATGTTTGTGAGTTTATAAGAGAGATGCCAACTGTAATAATACAAAACCAAAGTGAAACCACAAAAACCAAAGCATAAACAAAATTAAAAAACCAAAAGACCAAAGAAAATTTTTTTAAGACCAAAAAAAAAAAAAAAAAAGACTATCTGAAAATTAGGAAAAAACCATGTTAATAAGAAGCTGTTAGAGATAGAAGAGCAACTTGAAATTACAGAATTTCTGAAAAAGAATGATAATGGAAACACAAATAATCAAGTCTATGCTATTTAACTAACGTCATTAATAGAGGAAAAAGTTTAGCATTAAATATCTATGTCAGTAAAAATGAAAATAAATGAATTAAATGCCCCATTCAAAAAGCAAGAAAAAAAACACAAAGTGAGCCAAAACAATCTAGAAGGAAGGAATTAATAAAGATGAAAGCAAAAATTAATAAGTTAGAAAGTAGAACTAAAAAATAAACCCAAGGCTGAAACAATTAACAAAATGTATAAAGCACCCACTAAACTGGTCAAGAAAATAAATGAGAGGAAGCATGGACACACAAGATTAGAAATCCTGGGTGTGGACAGATGGGCAGGAGCATCAAAGCAAAGGAAATCTAAACTAAAAACATAAGAGACTGTTTTCCTCAACTCTATGCAAACTATTTGAAAACTTATCTGAAATGGATAATTTTCTAGAATAATGCAACTTACCTAAATTGGTCTCAGTAGAGACACAAAGTCTTAACAGACAAATTATCATGGAAGAAATAAAGAGCTTGCCAACAAAAAGCACCAGGCCCTAACAGTCTCGCAGGAAAATTCTAGCAAACCATTGAAGATCAAATAATCCCAATACTACTTAAGAACAAAGGAAAAAGAAGAAAAACTTCAGATAATTTGAGTTTTAATAATTTAGCCTACAATAGACTAAAACTTGTAAACCATGTTTAATGTTTGTGAGTTAATACAAATACCAAGTAATAATGACACAGAAACAAAACAACAACAACAACAGAATTCACTGGTCACTTTGGATGATCCCAATGATCTTCATTTTGAAAGATGGCCATAAGGAATCAAGCATCGCTGGGCTCGGTGGCTCAGAGGATCACTTAAGCCCAGGAGTTTGAGACCACGCTGAGCAACATAGTGAGAGCCTGTCTCTAAAAAAATAAAAATAAAAATTAGCTGAGTGGCCTGGGATTTCAACCGTGCTACCTGAATGTTGTGATCCGTCTTCTGCGTATCGCCGGAATTTCGAATCGCGATGGTCGTCCCCTCATAGAGGAGCTGGACTCCCTCAAGTACAGCGACCTGCAGAAATTAGCCAGGAGTCTGCGTCTCCGGGCCAACCTGAGGGCAGACCAGTTGTTAAAAGCCGTGAAAGGCCACATTAATCGTGAGGCAAGAAAAGGAAATGAGAATCGGGATGAAAGTCAAATTTCTGCATCCTCTTGTCATGAGACTGAGATACAGATCAGCAGCCAGGAACAAGCCGAGAGAGAGCCAACTGGCCATGTCACCAAAACAAGGAGAAGGCACAAGACTGCCCGTGTGGACCCTGACTCCCAGCAGGATCATTCAGAGATAAAAAATAAGTGATCCGGGCCGGGCGCGGTGGCTCACGCCTGTAATCCCAGCACTTTGGGAGGCCCAGGTGGGTGGATCACGAGGTCAAGAAATCGAGACCATCCTGGTCAAAATGGTGAAACCCCGTCTCTACTAAAAATACAAAAAATTAGCTGGGCATGGTGGCGCGTGCCTGTAATCCCAGCTACTCAGGAGGCTGAGAGGCAGGAGAATTGCCTGAACCCAGGAGGCGGAGGTTGCGGTGAGCCGAGATTGCGCCATTGCACTCCAGCCTGGGTAACAAGAGCGAAACTCCGACTCAAAAAAAAAAAAATAAATAAATAAAATAAAATAAAAAATAAGTGATCCGACTGAATTCCAGAATCATGAAAAGCAGGAAAGCCAGGATTTCAGTGCTATTGCAAGAGTTTATTCTGCAGATGAGCACCAAGGAGCTAAGAATGCTGTTTCTTCAGGAAAACGTGGAATAAATGGTAACAAAGATTCAAAGATACCTTCAGAAAGAAAGAAATCTCTCTACACAGGTGGGTTATCCAAACCTGGAAAAAATAAAAGAACTGCAAAGATACCTTCAGAAAGAAAGAAATCTCTCTACACAGGTGGGTTATCCAAACCTGGAAAAAATAAAAGAACTGCAATGACTACTCCAAACTTTAAGAAGCTTCATGAAGCTCATTTTAAGGAAACAGAGTCCATTGAGCAATATATTAAGAGGAAAAAGAAACATTTTGAAGAATACAATTTCATCAGTGAACTGAAGCAGCAGCCCATCAATAAGGGAGGAGTCATGACTCCAGTACCTCCAAAAGGAAGACTCTCTGTGGCTTCTACTCCCATCAGCCAACAACGCTCTCAAGGCCAGTCCTACGGCCCTGCATGTCAGAGTACCTTGGGTCTGAAGGGGTCACACAAGCGCTCTGCTATCTCTGCAGCTAAAACAGGTATCAGGTTTTCAGCTGCTACTAAAGATAATGAGTATAAGTGTTCACTGACCAAGACTCCAGCCAGAAGGTCTGCACATGTGACCATGTCTGGGAATACCCCAAAAGTTATTACTCCATTCAAGTTGACAACTGAGGCAATGCAGACTCCAGTCTCGAATAAGAAACCAGTGTTTGATCTTCAAGCAAGTTTGTCTCGTCCCCTCAACTATGAACCACACAAAGGAAAGTTAAAACCATGGGGGTACTCTAAAGAAAATAATTATCTAAATGGACATGTCAACAGAATTGATTTCCACAAGAAAACTTACAAACAACCCCGTCTCCAGACAAAGGAAGAGCAACGGAAGAAACATGAGCAAGAATGAAAGGAGAAGAAAGCAAAGCTTTTGGGAGTGCGAAGGGGCCTCAGTTTGGCTGAAGATTAGTAATTTTTTAACATCTTGTAAATATTCCTGTATTCTCAACTATTTTTCCTTTTGTAAATTTTTTTTTTTTTGCTTTCTTCCCCACTTTAGTCATGAGATCTTTTTCTGCTAACTGTTCATATTCTATGTCGTGTCCATGGGTTCTTCATGTGCTACAATCTCTGAAAAGACATTATCACACTAAAGCTCAAATTCTTTGGGATGGTTTTTGCCTAAGTCCCTATACAACTCGGTTTTCTAATGAGACCCTTCCTAAGATTCTGGTCCTAGATTTTTAAAGCCAAGTTCCCCCTGCTGGTTCTAGTATGAACAGAACTGCAGTCTTCTGCTAGGCAATAGCATTTACCTGTTGGCAGCTAATTATACAAGCTTCAGTAGAAATTGAACAATAACAACAGTAGGGTAAGCTGGGGTAGAAAGGCCACCTCTTCACTCTCTAGTCTATAGAATATAGTACGCTTTATGAAATGGGGCCATATGGTTTGGTTATTACATCAATATTTTATCTAGATGAAATTGTTTAGGCTCATATCCATCTTTGTTGAAATAGCCTCCTGTAATTACCATGTCACTCACTATATTTGCAAAAGTAAAACTCTCTGTAACTCATTCTAATGTTGCTGACTTAAAATAAAAGCTACATAGCCCTAAAAAAAAAAAAAAATTAGCTGAGCATGGTGGCATGCACCTGTGGTCCCAGCTACTTAGGAGGCTGAGGTGGGAGGACTGCTTGAGCCTGGGAGGCTGAGGCTGCAGTGAGCCACGATATCACCACTGCACTCCAGCCCAGGAAACAGAGTGAGACGTTGTCTCAAAAAAATAAAATAAATTTTAAAAAAAACACTCATTGTGCTTTTCATAGATGAACTGTAACTCACAATGAAGTTAAGTTTTTCTTTATAGAGACATTCTAGCTAATACATGGAAAGTACTGATAGGTTTAAAATACCACTGTTTTGTAACCCCTGATGAAATTTGTGGATCTGGGCTATGATCATCAAAGCCTGTTCACTTCTCAAAGTGGGAGATTAAGAGACAGACATTACATGTCTCCCACTGGAAGTCCATCTATAATGTATTCTTGACATAGAAATTTTAATTTACAAGAAACACACAGTCCAGGGAACATGTGAGCTAATACTAGAGGGATGCAATCAGCGAAATCCAGGCTATGGAAACTCTATAGGACAAATGATTCACTTTCCTAAACAAATGAATTACAAAGGGGAAAAGAAGAGATGGAGGAGGAATCTATAGATTAAAAGAAATTTGAGAAACCTGAACCAATCCAACATGTGGATGCAATTTGGGTCCCCATTCAAGCAAACGAACATTTGTGAGACAACTGGAGGAAATTTAGACCTGGCAGTATGATAATATTTAACATTATTAGTGTTAAAAGGTATAATATTGGAATTATAATTTAAGAAAAGAGACTCTGTATATTTCAGAGATGCATGCTAAAATATCTGGAAAGGAGATTATCTGGGATTTGCCACAAAAGACTGAAGGCAGAAATGGGAGAGAAGTAGATGGGCTATAAATGGAATAAGATTAGCCTAAAGTTAGTATTTAAAGAAGCTGACTGATGGGAACATGAAGGTTCCCTGTACTATCCTTTTTTTCTTTTTTATATGTTTGAAATTTCCCAAAGTAAAGAGCTTTTTCTGGTTGTTTTTAATCAGTTGCCATTATAGGTGATCGTTATTGCTCCCTGTATACTTATCCCTCTTTTTCAAATTTTTCACAATGATAGTGATTTACTTTAAATCATGGGAAAAGTACTTTTTGGCAGTAAAAGAAACGAAAGATTTAGTCACTGCCTGATTTTTTAGTAGCTCATTGTGCAAAATCTGTTAACACCTAATGTTTATCTACTGCTTATTATATTCTAAGTGCCTATGTGGATTAATTTATTTGTTATTAAATGTCTTCTTATTTTCTTCTTGGAGATGAGGTAACAAAAATCCAGAGACTTTAAGCAGCTTGCTTGGAATAACACAGCTGGGGTAAGAGATAGAACCAGAATTTGAACTCGGGCTGTCTGGCTCCAAATTTTATTCTCTAAACTGTGATGTTGTGTTTGAGCCTGACTTGAGTCTTTGTATAGTGAAACTGGCATCCTCTCTCTCCTCCCTCAAATAGGAGCTGCCTGTGCATGTGCTGTGAAGGTGGCAATGAGCCTGGCTCTTCTTTGAGACATTATTAGCTGGGTGGGTTTGGGCACGAATCACTTCATTCTCTGAGCTTCAGTTTTATTGCCTATTAAAATTAGACAGGTGGAGGGGGCTGGACTATTTGATGAGGGAGTTGAACTATTTGATGCTGCTTGCCTGCTGTGCAGCCTTGCATAACCTCTCTGAGCTTGGTTTCCCATCTCTGAAAAGGGGATTATTATTCCTACCTCATAGGTGGTTGAGAAGAAGAAAGGCCATCTGTGAAAAATGTGGGGTACAATAATAATGCTAGACATGATCATTGCCATTATTCTTCTCCTAGAAGAGTCTCTGAGTCTGGAAGGGTTGGGAAAAAGGACCCGCTTACCCAGGGAGGCTCTCCTGGGCCTTCCACGTCATGCTGGTAACTATGGAGAGGACTTTGCAGCAGCACAGACACAGGATGAAGAGGGGCCTCGAGTCTTGAACCAGAAGGGAGCCTAATAATTGTGGAAGGCACCATGTATCGAACCCCTACTATTCTAGATGCTTTACAAATATTCCCACATTCAGCCTTGGCTCAGCCTAGCAGGGCAGATATTCACAGCATGCCCATGGCTAGTTAAGTGAGTAGAAGTGCCAGGATTTAAACTGTGCCTCTTTCTCCTTTCTCACTTTGCTCTGGTTATAATTAACCAGTTTTTAAATCCTGTGTGCAATATGGTCTTATGATTGCATTTAACCTGAAAATACCCAGGTCATTAGTCACATAGATTATTTTCAAGTGTAAAGCTAATACATGCTTACTATAGCAAATAAAACTTCAGAAAAAAGACAATTCACTCACAAATTCACTACCCAGCATTCAGAGACAACCGTGATTAACATTTTCTTCACTTTTTTTCTTATATCATTGAGATCAGACCATAGTAAATACATTTTGAAAATCTAAAATCATTGAAATAATAAAATGAAATGACCTTGGATTGTAAGGACCTCAGAGTAGCATCAATGTATTGAGGTTGATCTATTTCAACAGTTCTCAACTGTGTGAGATTTTGCCCCCAAGGGGACATTTGGAAATGTCTGGAGACACTTTTGTTTGTGGGGTGGTTGCTACTGGCATCTGGTGGGTAGGGGCCAGGCATGCTGCTGAACACCCTACAATGCACAGGACAGCCGTCCACAAGGAGAATTATCTGGCTCAAATGTTAATAGTGCCAAGATTAAGAAACCCTGGCCAGGCGTGGTGGCTCACACCTGTAATGCCAGCACTTTGGGAGGCTGAGGTGGGTGGATCACGAGGTCAAGAGTTCAAGACCAGCCTGGCCAAGATGGTGAAACTCTGTCTCTACTAAAAATACAAAATTAGCTTGATGCAGTGGCAGGTGCCTGTAATCCCAGCTACCTGGGAGGCTGAGGGAGGAGAATTGCTTGAACCTGGGGGGTGGAGGTTGCAGTGAGTTGAGATGAATAATAATCAAATAATCAACACCAACCCTTGTTGATGTTGGATACAGGCTGCTGCATCCTGCTTCCCTCCATGGCAACAAATCAAAATGCAGAGGAAGTGGCATGATTAAGTGGCAGGGAAGACCTATAGCTCTGACTGCATCCCAGAGGGGTTGGGATCTCATGTTCTGCCCCGGGGTAGGACTTTGGCCTGTCCTTCTCAAGGATGCTTTCCCAGCCAGGCGACATCCCCACTGCTTGGTCAGGGGTCAGTTGTGAGCACGAGGCCCGAGAGGGAAGCCGGGAGTATCACTCGCACTGACCATGATCGTCAGAGGTCAGAGACACTGCGAAACTCAAGAAGAGGACACAAACATTTCTACCAGAAGAGGGGCCCTGAGTCTATCCACACAGCCACCAGGTTACCATGAGAACTGACCACGTCCCAACAAAGAGAGGGCCAAGGACAGGGGCGGCTCTGGAGCTCAGCTCCAGTATCTCCACGTCCTCCCATTGTGAGGGATCTGGGTCAGGAACCACTGCTGGTGAATACGGAGGAGAAGCAGAGACTTCTCTCCAATGGATGAGTGTGCCAGGGCTGCTGTGACAAAGTACAACACACGGAGTGACTTACACAAGAGAAATTGATTCTCTCACATTGAGGGGGCTGGAAGTCAGAGAATAAGCCCTGCCTCAGAGGCAGGGCTGTGCTGCCTCTGAGGCACTGAAAAAAAATCTGTTCCAAGCCACACTCCTGGCTTCTGGTAATTCCTGCGTGTGGCAGCCCGGCTCCCGTCTTCACGTGGTGCTCTCCCTGTGTGCGCGTCTCTCCAAAGTCCCCCCTTCACAGGGACACCAGTCACACTGGATTAGGGGCCACTCTATTCCAGTATAGGCTCATCTTAATCACATCTGCAACAACCGTGTTTCCAAAGAAGGTCACATTCTAAGGTACTGGGGTTATGCCTACAAATTGGGGGTGGGGGGAACACAATGAAACCCACAACAGACCCCACATTTAGAAAGTAGTTTCAGTATCCCTAGCCAAGCAGGAAGATCTGATCATGCTGGCTGCTCGTGGACGCTCCTTGGTGATAGAGGCTTTCCTTGTAGATGTCTGTTTCCTGGAGGATCCCCAGACCCTTTTAGTACCTCAGGGTACATGAACATGGAGGGTCTCAGGTAACAGTGCTTATTCACTGTTACCAAGGTCTTGAAACCCATGAGCATCAAACATGGATCATCAAACCATTTTAGCTCTTCTGTTTCCTCTTTCTCCAGTGTAACCTGATGACCCCCATAGATCTGAGGCCTGTCAGTATCGTTAGGCAGAAGCAAACTGCCTGTATTTGTATTAAATGTCCAGGTCTCGGTTTTCACTGGTTCATTTTTTTCCCAGTAGAGCTTTATTGGAGGCTTGAGAGCCTTCTGGACTAGATTATAAATGCCCACAGAGATCACTATATCTCTGTTAAGCTTCAGCATTTTTTTTTTTTTTTGAGACTTGCTCTGTTGCCAGGCTGGAGTGCAGTGTGTGCAGTCTTGGCTCACTGCAACCTCTGCCTCCTGAGTTCAAGTGATTCTCCTGCCTCAGCCTCCCGACTATCTGGGACTACAGGCACATACCACTATGCCCAGCTA